GACACAGGTGCTGTTGGCGTGGGCGTAGATGTATACTTTCGACTGGGGTGTTTCATGCCGATCACGCCGAGGCGGCGGATGATTTCAGGGGGAGTTGGACACCTGCTGGGAGCGCAGGAGCAGTTTATCAAAGTAGCGTTCCCAGTTATCATAGAACCGCTTGAAGCCGTCTGGAGAGAATCGGACGGAGGTGGCAGTGGCGAAGTCCAAGTGGCCGGTGTCGAAGAGGTCGAGGAAAGAGTCCTGAAGCACCTCGGTCCACACGCGCAGGTTGCGGAAGTTGGAGCCGCTGGTGCTGAGACTGCCGATGACAGCGTTGGCAATGTTTCCAATGCCGGACTGGATGGGGAGAAGGTTGTTGGGGAGATGGCCCATTTTCACTTCATGCTGGAGAAATTCGATGATGTGTTTGGCAATAGCATGCGATCCCGCGTCCGCTGGGGCGTTTGGTTGGGTCCGGTCGGGATAGTCGGATTCAACAATGGCAACGACCTTCTCGGGATCAACTGGGATGTATGTAGTTCCGATGCGGTCTTCGGGTGCCATAATCAGATATGGTTTTCGCCGTGGAGGCTTGTCGCACATAGTGATGTCATGGAGGCCTTCGAACGAAGGAGCCGCGGTATTGACCTCGATGATTATTTTCTCCGCCATTTGAACCAGCTCTGGAGAAGCCCCCACTGAGGCCCCAGGTATAATCCCCCCGTCTTCCGTGATAGCTGATGCCTCAATAATCATAACGTCTAGTTTATTATTTGGCCGATCCTTCGTATAGAAACCCTGTGGAGCGTGACGCAGATATCAGCAACTAACCCTCAACTCACCTGCGTGGACACAAGTGGGGGAATATGTCTCATACATATACCAAATCTGAGGGGAACATGCTCAGGTGTTTATCGAAGAAATTGATATTGCCATTATTGATTCCTTTTGCGATCTCCTTGCCGACCTGATGAGGCGCTCGCCTCTCAATCATATTATTCCTAGCCCATCGATTCTCCGTCTCCGCCCCAGAAGACGCCCCGACAAAGAGGCAATACTTCAACTGTCCTTGAAGTGAATTCTTCTCAACGTAATCTGCCAAAGCGGTGGGTACTTTCCTGTACTCAGTTCTGCAGTTAGAAGATGAAAAAAAAAAAAATATAAAAATAGAGAGAGAGAGAGAGAGAGAGAGAGACAGAAACAGGACCAGCGCGGAACTAGATATGCTGTTGGTATAACCTACTTGGGATATCCAACCCCAGTAAAACCGGACCAGCCCGATATAAGAGCCATTTGGGAAGAGGCTGATAAGATCTTCAGCCCTGGCCAGCTTGCTCAGCATGGAAGGCCGTCTGATACGGCTTTTCAACACGGCAGAGACAGCCATTCTTATATACTAGTAGATTTAAGTATATCTCGTTCCTCTTTCAATGGACATGCGCTTTCGGGCGGAAAGATTCCCGCAGGTCAAAATGAAGTCTGACCGCACACCTGGCAACCGGAAACTTGGCCCAAACTTTTGAGGAGGAAAAAGTGTTTAGGGCTATTTTAGCTATACAATGAGCTGTCCAGCATGCACGCCGACCCTTTTGAACCTGAAAATTAAACGAGTAGGAGGGGCACCCATAAGAAAAAAGGTCCCCCTTATGGGATTAATTATTTAAAGACTCTGGGGGGAAGTCTCCTAGGTAGCAGGTTCCCGCCCCCTCGAGG